GCTTCTCAATCAACACAAAGACCTGAAAATTGCAAAAAAAAAAAAAAAAACAAAAAAAAAAAAGAAACAAAAAAAAAAAAAAAAAAAAAAAAAAAAAAAAAAAAAAAACAAAAACCCAAAAAAAAAAAAAAAAAAAAAGGGGAAAGGAACCGAGAAACAGCTGCAGCTGGGGGAAACCTACTGAATACCACCAAGGCTCTACACACGACTGGCCTAAAACCCTACAGCTGGGTGGGAGGCAGCAGGGCGAGGGGGGGACGCACAAAACAGGGACCCCCCACCCGCCACAACAGACCCAAGCGACACAAATCACAAAATAGAAAAGCTCTTCAGAGCTGACGGACCCCACAAACCAGGTTAAGTGCTTAAAGGAGGGATGGGAACGAGGTGGCGGGACAGGGATGGGCACGAGGACAGGGATGGGGTATAAAAATCAGCCCCCAACCTGCCATCCCTGTGCCAAGGTGGGTGTTGGAAATGCCAGGGAGGGGTGGTACATGCCAGACCTCCCACCGTGCTCCAATGGCATCATCCCAGGATTATTTTACTCTCCAAGGGGGTTTTCCCTGCCCCATGTGGGGTGCAGGAGCCATGGTGGTACCCCAAAGTCAGGGATCCCTGTCCTGCCTTTGCTGCCATGCCACTTGGCATCTCCCCCCGCTTAAAAACGAACATTTAATTAAAAGAAAAAAAAAAAAAAAACACAAGAGAAGGAAAAAACGAAATTAAGATCCCAACCAAAGGCCCTGTCCCACGGGAACACCATCAGGAACAGCGAGGCTGCTGCCAGCTTGGCAGGATTCCCTGTGGGTAGGTGGGTGGGGGGTAATAAACCAGGGTGGGGGGCTGTGACCCCCATCCTAAATGCCCCCCACCATGCCCCGAGCCCCCAGGCCTCCCTGTGGCCACCCCCAAGCCCCTGCCCCCCGGGAGCTGCAGGGTGACCTTTGCCTGCCTCTAACGCTCTGCTTTACAGTATTGGAAAAAGGTCATAAAAGAGACCCAAATCGCGATGTATTTTTTAAAAATTTCAGCATATTCTCTGACGTTACCCCCCCCCCCCGCCCTGGCGTCCCTCCCCAGCTGCTGGCCAGGGGGTGTCAGGGCAGCTCCCCGTCCCCCGAGGGCTCCTCTTTGCTCTGGTCCATGGAGTCACTGTCGTTGCCCTCGGTGTCAGAGGCGGTGTCGGAGGCGGAGGGCTCGGGGCAGGCGCGCGCTGGCGTGACGATGACGGCGCGTCTCTGCTCCTCTTCCTGCAGCTGCTTCTCTTGTGTCCCCTCGATGTGCTGGATCGCCTGCCCAGGGCACACACTGCCCGTCAGGACATCCCCTCTGACCCACCGGGGGGTTAGGGACCCCCCCGAGACCCCACTGCCAATCCCCCGCTGCTCCCCAGCTCACCTGAACGATGGTGTCCAGGTTTTGCCGGGACGTGGAGACCGTGTTGATGACCGAGGATGGGCCCATGGTGACCACGGTGACATGATGGGAGGGAGGCGGCGCTGGAACGATCACGGTGGGGTGGTGGGTGGGCGCTGGGGGAGCATGTGATGGCAGGAGCTGGGGACAGAAGGGAAACCCCCGGTGAGCAGGGACCGAGGCACGGCGGCGTGGGGAGAACATCGCGCTTGTTCACCGAGCCCAAGCTCTGTAAAAGCTGAAGCATCGCTCGGCTGCTCCAGTTCTCCATCCCAGTGGATGCCAGCTGAAAGCTGCTGCCACCTCGGCTTTGCAGAGCGGAACATGAAGGATTTCCCATATCCCAAAGGACAGTGATTTGGGCTTTGAAGCCAGGACAGGCAAGTGCCAGCCCCTGTGTGGCCAAGAATTCCCCCACCCCTCAGAGATGCTCGTTCGAGCAGCGGATGGGAAGATCCGCCCTAGCAGGAGGCTACGGAGAGTTCACCTAAAAATAGGCTGAACTTCCCCGGGAGGCGGCCGGCAGGGACCCTGCAGAGACACGGCTCTGCAGAAGCCCAAGGAGCGGGGAAGAAGCTGCTGTTCCTCCCTTTGAAGCTCCTGGAGTGGTGTGGCCCCGGGCTGGGCTTGAGGGCGACAGCGCACAGGGACCTGTGCTGGCACAGCGCTCACCTCCTCCCTGCACCACTGGCAAATCCAGCAGTCTCGAGGGAAAGGCTAAAAGTTCCTATCCCCACAGCCTGCCAGCTTGACGCTCCCATTTCTCAGCCTGCTGGGTGGCAGGGAGTGATTTGGAGATCCCTGAAATGCAGTGGGAGTCACCCAGAGAAAGGTGAAGCCCCTGAGATGAAACCCTCTCTGGCAGCAAGTGACCTCCCCTGCACAAACCCTCCTGTGCCAGGGAAGGGAGTCACTTGGTAGTCACCATGGGTGGTCCCATCCAGTCCCTCTCTAAAACACAGGGTGCCCACAAGCACAGCCCCAAGCACTGGGGGGGGGGCTTTGGGCCCCCCCCTTCTCAAATCACTAAGAGCGAGAGCTTTGCTGGGACATCAGTGCCCACAGGAGGTGCCAAGTCCATCACTGAACCAAGCCCTGCGTTTCAGTACCTGGGGGTGCCTGGGGTGCGCTCACCTGGGTTCGGATCTGCTGCTCACGCTCGAGCTTCTCCTGGTGCAGCAACCTCACCTGTTCCTGCTGCTGCTGGAGCTGCACCTGCTGAGCAATCACCTTCAGCTTCTCGGGGTACATGTGGGCCTCCAGGGAGCGAACCTGCAGGCCAGGGAACCCCAACATCAGTGTGGGGTCCGACATGGCCCTGCTGAACCCCAGCTGTCCCCTCAGCCAGAAACTCCCGGATGAGCATGGAGAAGGGGTGTCCAGAGCAGGTGTTCAGTGACCCCACAGCACTGCTGGCATCCCTGGGGTTCACTGGGGACATGGCAGAGGCTGCAAGAGGGCACCTGGCCTCACCTGCTCCTCCAGCATCATGCGGACCGAGCGCTCCTTGTCGAGCTGCTGCCGGAGCTCGATCATTTCCCGACGCAGATCCTCGGCCTTCTCATCTTCCCAGATGTCCGGTGAGCCGATCCCCTCGTCTTTGTCCTCTGCCCGTCGCCGTTTCGGGGAGGAGCCACTGAATTCCTGCCATGGGAATGTGGTGTCAGGGACAGGGGGCTAGCACGGATACTCTCCCTGCCATCCGGACATCTGGGTGATGCCACTCCCCCACCACAGCTCCATGCAGGAAAGGATCTCCCTGGGGTTGTGTTTGATGCCTGGGGACAGATGGGCTCCTGCCTGTGTCCCACATCCTGGTCTTTGTCCCCACGGCCTTGTGCCAACTTGATTCTCACACTGACAGCCAGGGCAGTTCAACCAGGGCACCCCAGCACCAGAACTGCCACCAGGCCATCCTCGACACACCAAATGGGTGGAAATAATGTACAAAGGGACCCCAACCCTTCTCCCCCTGCCAGGTAAGAGATATCAGGATGAATGGGGCTCCCTGCCCTGCCAGGGGAATGGAAACATCTCCACTCTCTGGCTGAGCAGAGTAGAGGGTCCCACCCTGAGCCCAAGGAACTGCAAGCACATCCCCGCCCTGGCCAGCCAGGATTGTCCCATCCCCTCCTGTCCCATCCCTGGGGCACTACCTGGATGAACCGCTTGAGCTGGGTGTTCTGCTGCAGTAGCCGAGTCTTTTCCTGCTCCAGGGAGAAGATGTACTCGGCCGTCTGCTGGAGGATGGCTGCCTGTGGGGGAGCCAGGAGGGGCATGCTGAGCCAGGAGAGCCTGGTGTCCCCCCAGGCCTCCTCCTGTTGGCTCCTCCCAGAGACTGCTTCACCCCAGGTTCCCCCTGGGATTTCCACCATGGTGAAACCCTCCAATTCACCCACCTCGGGAAGCCAAGCCTCATCACCCCACTGCCCTCCTCACCCAGGAAGCTGTCACCCTGCTCCTGGGGCACTGGGTCACACACTCCCAGCCCACTCCAGGACACCGGGCTGGGGATGCACACCTGCTCCTGCTGGGAAACCTCTCCAGGAGAGAGCTCCATCACTGAATTAACACCCAAATACCCTCAACTCCATTTTCAGCCCCTCCACGTGCAGTACCAGCGTGTGCATCCTGCTCACCTTGCTGAGCTTCTCCCCATCCGTGTGTGGGATGAGGGTTTTCAGGGACTGGAAGCCAGCATTGATGCTCTGCATCCGCCGTCTCTCGTTGCTGTTGGCGATTTCCCTGCGTATCCGCCGCTCCTGGTCCCGCTGGGTCTCCGGAGTCAACGGGATGTTGGCCAAGCTGTGAGAGAGACCCAGGGTTAGGGAGGAGGGGGCCAGCTCATTGCATCCCCCTTGATTTGCAATGACGGTTCCAAGCCACCAAAGGGATGGGTAACAGGAGGGGACCATGGCTGCGCTGCTGGGAATCACCGAAGCAGGTGGGCGGGTTTCTGCAGCCCTGCGTCCAAAGCTTTGAGGATGCATTGGCCAAACAGTGGCCCTGCTGCAGCCCCACCGGGCTCAGACACACTGCCCAGTGCCAAGCCTGGGCGAGGGGAGCCGGGGACCCCCAGGTGGGCGAGGGAGGCTGCGGGCTGGCCGGCTGTGTCCCCCCGGGGCCAGCCCGCGTGTGTGGCCCCGGGAAGGCGGCTCCCTCCCTCCCGCCCCGCTGATGGCTTCCAGATGACAGCTCCCAGCAGAGAAGCCCCCGTCCCACCCCAAGCCGCAGCTCCTGCCTGCTTCCTGCCGCTGCCTCCTCGCCCCCCACGCCCTTGCCCCGCAGATGGGCCAGGAAATGCCTCCTGGAGCCGGCGATGATGCCGGCACGGAGGGCGAGGGCTCCGGGCAGCCAACACCCGCAGATCCAGAGCACCAGACCTGAACAAAGCTCGCTGCCGTGGAGTCCAGCTTCATCCGCACCCCACTTCTTCCCCGAGGAAAGCAGGGCAGAGGTTTTGGATCACACGGTGCCAACTCTCCCCAGAGCGCAGGCACCCAGCACCCGCTGGCGCCGAGGATGCTGCGAGGCACCAGAGACTAAACACAGGAGCTGGGCGGCCGGCGGGAGGCGAGATAAGACGGGCTCCAGCCACCCGGGCAGGTGCCCGGCGGCTCCAGGACGGGGACATGGGAACATTCCACCCAAAGCGCTGCCAAAGCCAGGCTGGGAAGCACAGCCCAGCATCCTGCCCTCACTGCCCTCCTGGTGAGGCCATGGAGGAACCACGGAGGTTTGGGAGCGCAGGGATCTAAAGGATACGTGCAGCACCACCGTGTGCCCAGGCAGTGACCAGAGACTCTCAGGCCACTCAGGGTTGCCTGGTGCAACTGGGGAATGCACCACAACTCGTCCAAGATGCACAGGGATGGGGAAAGACCCAGCTCATCCCAGAGGGATGGGAAAGGATCCTCGCTCAGCCTAAGAAGGGGTTGGATTCCAGCTCTGTCCAAGGGCACGGGGAAGGATCCCAGCTGTGCCCAGCAAGACAGAGAAGAATCACAGCTCATCCCAAGCAGATAGGGAAGGATCCCAGATTACCCTAGAGGGATGGAGAAGGATACCAGCTCATCCTAGAGGTATAGGATAGGATCCCAGCCCATCCCAAGGGGATGAGGAAGGACCGCAGCTCAGCCCAGAGGGGCCAGGAAGACATTTGTCCCCAGTCTCTGGGGCAATATCCCAGCACAAGCTGATGCTGGGTGCCAAGCACCCACTGCACTGGCTCCCTCACATGCAGTCCTGGGGGTGTGGAGCTGGGATGGGTGCCCAGGGGTCTGCCCCTCTCCCTTGGAGCAGCTTCTGCCACATGGACCAAGAGCTGTTTGCAGCAGGATTGTGGCACAGGGCTCCCATCTGGTGGTGGCTGTCACCCATCTCCCTCCTCCTGAAACCAGCCCCAAACTTGTCCCCTAAACACACTAAACCCTGCAGGTCTGGGAGACATCGTCCCTCTTGGGGTAAGGAGGTGGCTGGAGCACTGCTCCAGGATGTTGGACCACCAGACACTTAAGGGGAATGGGATGGAGAGGCCCAGGACTGGGCAGCGCGGAAGTGGTTTCTTAAATACTGGGAAAGGAGGAAGAGCCTGCTTCCTCACCGGCAGACCTCCTGCAACCTGCCCCAGCTGCTCTTCCTGGGAAGAGACCTGAGAAGTGACAGCGAAATACAGAAAGGGCAAAAATCCATGGATTCAAACATCCAGCATGGCCAGGGATGGGGCAACACAGAAGCAGGGGCAGCAGGTGGCACCCGCTGGAGCCCCTGGGGTGTCTCCAGCCTGGTGCTGTGAGGTTTGTGTCAGGCAAGCAGAATTTGGTCCTTCCCACGCTGGGGAGGACACTTCTCTCACCTGGACGCAGAGGAAAACAAACCCATGTAGGTGTTGGAACCAGGCACAAGGCTCACGGCAGATACCCTGCTGTGCACTCGTGTCCAACACTGATCACAATCTGTGCTGTGGGCTGTGCTGGCACGGCCATGTGGGCAGGGTGTCCCCAAGCTCCTTGAGGTCACAAGTAGGGTATTCCCCAGCTTGCAGGCAGGGCATCCCCAAGTTCACAGGCAGGGTATCTCCATCCTTCCATGAAGGGCACTTCTAAGCTTACAGGGTCAGGGCGTACCTGAGTGTACAAGCAGGGTGTCCCCAGCACCCCCAGTTCACAGGCAGGCTGTCCCTCAGCACCCTGAGCTTGCAGACTGGGTGTCCCTGAGCTCCTTGAGGTCACAAGCAGGGCAGCTCCCAGCACCCTGAGCTGCACGCAGCGTGTCATCCAGCAGCCTGAGCTCCGGGCAGGGTGTCCCAGAGCCCGGGGCAGAGGGAAGGCTGCTCCCCCCAGAGCCCGGGGCAGAGGGAAGGCTGCTCCCCCCAGAGCCCGGGGCAGAGGGAAGGCTGCTCGCCGAGGCCTGCTCCGTGCCGGGATTAGCGTGGGGCCGCGCAGCCCCAGTCCCCGGGCGGGACGGGCGCATTCCCGTGCCCATGCAGGCAGCCCCCGAGCCACGGGCCCGCGGCGACCAACGCTGGGACCCCAGCGAAGCCGCCCCCCCGCCCTGGGTCGCTGCCCCACGGCTGCACCTCCGGGGGGGGGGCTCAGGTGCGGCCACTCCCCGGGATCGCCGCACGGATCCTCTCCCCTCCGTGGGGCAGGGGCAGCACCCCGAGGGGCCGGGCCCCCAACACGTGCCGTGGGGCCCGGGCTGCCCCACAGCCCCGCGGGGCCCGGCGGTTCGGGCCGCCCCACGGCGGACTCGGGCTCGCAGGGGCTCGGCGCTGCCGGGGGCGGGAGCTGAAGGCCCGGGGAGGTTATGGCGGGGGGGGGGGGGGGGGGGGGGGGGGGGGGGGGGGGGGGGGGGGGGGGGGGGGCCTCAGGGCCGCCCCGCGTGGCCCCGGGGCCTGCGCCCCCACCCCCCGCCCGCCGGCCCCCGCCGAGCCCCGCGGGCGCAGCCCCCGGCCCCGACCGCGCCCCCGCCCGCCGGGGCTCCCCGCGTGTCCGCGGGCTTTGTGCCGCCGCTCCCGCACTACATGTCCCGGCAGCCCCGGCCGCGACCCGCCTCCTCCGGGCGGCTGCAGAGTCACGGCCAGGCCCGGCGGTAAACACACACCCCCGCGCCCCCCGGACCCCCGCGCCCCGCGCCCCCCGCCCCGAGCGCGCCCCGCCGCCGCCCCGGGGCCGGCCGGGGGTGGGGGCGCGGCGCTCCCCGCCCGGGCCACGCGCGGCCGCCGGTCCCATGTGCGCGGCCGGGACCACGTGCGGGCGGTGGGGCCGCGGCGGCCGCGCCGCTGCCCCCCGTTCTCCGCTCCCCCCTTCCCCGCCATCCCCCCCCAGGCCTCCCGAGACCCCCGAGCCCGGGATCTCCCGGCGCCCCCCCACCTGCAGAGCCCGCCGATGACCTCCTTCTCGGATTTCCTGAAGTGCTGCAGGGCCGGCACCTTGGGGGCTGGCACCATGAAGTACTCCATAACGGGGGCGGGGGGCCCGGTTCAGCCCAGCCCGGCTCGTCCCGGCCCGGTTCAGCCCCTCCCGGCCCGGCTCCGGCCTCTGCCCGCGGCCCAAGGCGGGAAACAGCTGGAGCGAGCGCGGCTCCCGCCCGCCGCCGCCGCCGCTCCCCCGCCCGCCCCCGCCCGCCCGGCGCCGCCCCCGCCCCGCACCGGCCCCGCGTAAACAAAGGCGGCGGGAGGGGCCGCAGCGCGGCCGGAGCGGCACCGGGACACGGCGGCGGAACGCGGCGGGACACGGCGGGGCGGGGGGCAACTGGAGCGGCCGGGACGGTACCGACCCGTGCTGGCACCGGCCCGTCACACCGCGTCGCCTCCTGACCTGCCTCCATCCTATTCTACTCTATTCTATGCTACTCTATCCTATCCCACTCTGTCTCATCCTGCCCTGTCCCTAACCCATCCCACCTCATGCTATCCTGAGCTGTCCCCATGCCATTTCTATCCTATCCTACCCTGACCTGTCCCCATCGCATACCACCTCTTTCTATCCTGCCCTAGCTCCATCCCATCCTACCCTATCCTATCCTGTTTCATCCCCATCCTTACCTGTGTCCATTCCACCCTACATCATTCCATCCTGCCCGAGTTCCATCCCACCTTGACCTGTCATGTCCCTATCTCATCCTATCTCAACGTAATCTCTCCCCATCCCAGCCCATCTTGCCATAGCTCTGTCCTATCCTGCTCTATCCTATCCCATCCTCATCTGTCTTGTCTCTATCCCATCCTATCCTCATCCCATGTTGTCCTATGCCATCCTACCTTGACCTGTCTCCATCCTATCCCTATCACACCTTATCCTCACTCCATCCTAACTCATTGAATCCAATCCAGTCTAATCCAATCCTGTCCTATCTTATCTCATGCAATTCTATTACAGCCCATTCTGACCTGCCTCATCTCCATCCCATCCTATCCTATCTCATGTTTTCCTTACCTGTCTTGTTCTAATCCCAGTCTAATCCTATCCCATTCTGTCCAACCTCATCCCATCCCGTCCCGTCCTGTTCCCATTCTATCCTGCTTTATCCCCATACCACCTCATCTGCCCTACCCTATCCTACCCCATCCTACCCTATCCTGACCTGTCTTGCACCTATTCCGTCTTATTCCTTCCTATCTTGTCCCCATCCAATCCTCTCCTACATCCATCTTGTCCCACCCCATTCTACCCTATCCCCATCCTATCCCGCCTAATCCCCATCCTATCCTACCCCACCCCGGCCTATCCTAGTCCTGTCTCAGTCTGAACCCTTCCCATCCCTTTTTCTGGCTTCTGGGCGGCTCAGGAGGCTGGGGTGGAGGGGGGGGTCACAGCAGCCTTGTGTCTTGGCTCAGGGAGTTGGGGGTGATGGGGATCCCATTTCTGGCAGAGGCATCCTGAGGGCTGACCAGGGGTTCTGGAGGTTGATGAGGAACTTGGGAAGTTATGGTGGGCTGGGTGCTGGCAGGGGGCTTGAGGATCTGGTGGGGGGCTCTGGGGCTGATGGAGTGACTCTGAAAGCTGGCAGGGGACTTGAGGAACTGCTGGGAGGGTCTGGGGTCTGGCAGGGGGCTGAAGGGGGCTGGCAGAGACCTGGAGCTCACAGGAGGTGTGGGTGACTCACGTGGCCTGGCATGGGGGGGCTCCAGGTGGGGGTTCACAGTTTTGGGGGTGACAGGTTCATGTGGCTGGCAGGGGGGGTTCTGGGAGATAGATGGGCTTAGGGGGGAAATGGGGGGATGATAGGAGCTTTGAGGGACTGTGGAGGTGGCAGAAGGGTGTGGGGGCTGGCAGGGGGGCACAGGGCTGGCAGGGGCCATGGGGGGTTCATAGCGGGGCACAGAGCTGGAAGGGGGGGTCCGGAGGACTAGTCGGGGAGCACAGGGCTGGCAGGGGCCGTGGGGAGTTGGTAGGGAGGCACGGAGCTGGCAGGAGCCATGTGGTACCTGAGGGACCTACCTGTGGCAGGTGCCCTCCCCCCATAGCCCCCCCCAGCACTGCCTGCGTGGGTCCAGGGCCACTGGAGCGGGAACACCAGGGGGTCCTGGGGGTGGGCTGTCACCCTGGAGGGGCAGGACCCGGCTCTGCAGAGCAGGGTGGGCTCAGCCCTCCCCTCCCACAGCCCGGCCCCGCTGGGAGCTGCAGGACAGGTTCTGCCGGGTGTCCCCTGGGCCCCTGCCCGGCCCCCGCAGGGGCCCCTCCGCGGGGGCTGCGCGTCCCCCCACGGCACGGGGACCACCGCGTCCCCCTCCCTTTTATCGTGAGGCTGTTGGGGACACAACGGCTTCTCCCTCTCCCGCAGGAAATCCCTCGGGCAGGGTGGGATTTCGGTCACCCGCGTGGGACGGTGCTGCCCTCCCGTGTCTCCCCTGCTCGTGGCGGGGATATTGAGGACACAGCGGCCACCCCTCCCCAAAAAAAGCCTCAAACCACGGGTAGGATGTGGCTTCAGCCGGCTGTGTGGATCAGAACTGTACCTCCATTCGTGTCCCCTGTTCTGCTGCGGGGCTGTTGGGGACACAGCAGCTGTGTCCCCCCTCCCCAAAACCCCAAACCGCGGGTGGGATGAGGTTTCAACTGCCCGCGTGAGACAATTCTGCCCCTCACTCGCGTCCCACCTTTTGTGGGGCTGTTGGGGACACAGCAGCTCCCTCTCCACCCCGAAAGTCCGCATGGAACAGCGCTTCCTCCCCGTGTGTCCCTCCCTTTCGTAGGGAGGACGCCGCATCTCCCCCGCAAAAAAAACCCCGAAAACAAAACAACCACGGGTGTTTTTGGTGGGGTGTGACTTCAGCCATCCGCCAGGGACAGTGCTGTCCCCCAAGCATGTGTCCTCCCTTTTACAGCGGCGCTGCTGGGGACACTGCAGCTTTCCTCCCCGCAAAAAAAAAAAAAGAAAACAACATAAAACCAAACAAAAAACGCGTGGGGCAATGTTGTGTCCCCCCCTCCCTGCCCCCCCATTCCGGGGGGCCCCTTGAGGACACCGCAGCGACATTCCGCCCCCAAAATAAAATCACGGGTGGGGTGTGCCCAGCCACCCGCGTGGGCCCCGGGGGAGGGACCCCCCCGGCGAGGCTGCAGCATCCGGGCCGGCCCCGCCACATCCTGCCGCCGGAAGGAGCCGCGGCCCCGGGACAACCCCCCCGCCGGTGACGTCATGCGGGGGCCCCCGCCAGGCGTGACGCCAGCCCCGCTCTGTGACGTCACGCGACGGGCGGGCGGCGCCGCTCCTGCGGGGAGGGGGATCCCCCCCAGCCCCCATTTCCCCGGTGTGACCCCCACCCTCCCCCCCGAGCCGCCTCGCTACGGGGTGGGGGCTCCGGTGGGTGCCGCCCCCCGCCCCGCCACGTCCCCGGGGGGGGACAGGGACACGCGGGGGGGACACGGACACGCGGGGGAAGGGGGTCTGCTCTGCCGCAGCGTCGGGGTGACCTTGTGCGGGGGGGTGGCGGGACTCCCCCGGCGGGTTTTCCCCCCCCCCCCTGGGGCGGGGCTCGGTGCCCCCCGGTGCCCCCCGCGGGGGCGGGGAGGGGCCGCCCCCGCCCCCGCCCAGCGCCGCCCGCAGCCGGGGCCGGGCCGCTCGGTGCGGGGCGGCCATAAATCACGGCGGGCAGAGCCCCCGCCCCGCCGCCGCCCCCGGGACCGGGCAGGGGGGGCCCAGCCCCGCCGCCGCCACCCCCGCCCCCAGCCCCTGCGGATGTGGCGGAGCGGCCCGGCCGCCCCGCACCGGCCCCGGCACCGGCCCCGGGGGGCCCCGCTCCGCCGAGCCCCGCACCCCGCCCCGCTTCCCGCCCGGCGCTGAGCCCCCGCCGCAGGTACGATCGCGCTCCGGGCACCACGGAGGGGAGGAGGACGATGAGGAGGATGCTGCCACCGCCGGGGGGAGGGGGGACCTTCCGAGGAGCCCCTTCCTCGCCACCCTAGGGGGTGCGGGGGTCCCTTGGCACCTGCAGCCCCCCCGCCCAGGGAACGGGTCTGGGGGGACCTGGCCCCGAGGGAGATGAAGAGAGGGGGCTTCCCCACTGCCCGGTGGGTGCCAGGGGGGTGACCGTCACCCGCCGTCCCCCCGCACCCTGGGCGGGTGTCCTGACCTTGGCCGTGGGGCGGGGGCTGCGGCGGGGACGTGCTGGGTGGCACTGCCCGGTTGCGGCCACCTCCGGGGACACACCAGTGTCCTCATGGTGCGAGACGGGAGAAAGGGTAGCATTGGGTGGGGGGGTGCAGGGCGTCCCCATCCCGGTCCCACGCCGGCGGTGCCACCGCCCGCCAGCCCCGGTTCCCTTCGCGGGGGGCTCCCGATCCTCATCATGAGAAGTGACAGTCCCCACCATGGGGGTGACAATCCCACGGCCTCGGGGCCAAGTGGCCAAGCCTAGGCTGCGCCATTGCGGGGTGTTTTGGGGACTAGGACGGTGTGACCCCCTCCCTGAGGTGAGAGCAGTGGGGACCACAAATTGTCCCCGATGTCCCTAGGCACTGCTGCAGGCTCTCGTTCCCTGCCCAGCATGGAGAAACCCTGCAGCCAGTGGACACCTCCCCTTCCCCATGCCTTTGTCACCCTGCTGTCACCACCTCCCCCAGCCAGGGTCCCTTATGTGCCCCCATCCCCGCGATGCTGCCGCGCCCAGGGTGCTGATCCGCTGGCTGCTGGGGACCACCCCGCTGCTGTCCCCGCCTGCTCCAGCTGTGTCCCCAGACAGGGGTGGCAGGGGCGCTGGTGCTGGCGGCGTTGCTGTGGGGCTGCTCCCGGGGTGGCAGGGGTCTGGTGTCAGCCCTCTGGCAGGATCCCCGCGGCTCCCACATGGCCGGGAAGGGGAACCTTGGCACCGGCCTCAGCTCGGGGACCATGTCCACTCCTGGGGACACCTTTGGCAGCCGCCGTCAGCCCAGCGGCGTGGGTGACGGGTGCTGGAGGGCCACAGTGACAAGATGGAGCTACCAGCAGGATATGACCCCCCCCCTCCCAAACCCGTCAGGCACCGGTGGGCTATTCTGAGGAGTGGCTGTGCCAGTGCCAGCACCATCTGCAGTGGGACAAGCAGCGATGGCGGGTCCCACGGGCACCCGTGTCCTGCCAGCAGCCGTGGGGACAATGACCCGCATCCTGCCAACGCGCCCACCCTGCCCTGGCACGGGGGGCTCCGGAGACTGCCCCCCGTGGCAGCGGTGCCAGCCGGCCGCTGCCAATTGCCACGGCGGCGGAGACCGAGCCCTGCCTGCAGCGCTGGCACCGCTCCCACTCCCCGATCCCCGGGGTCACCATCCCCTGGCGATGGCATTGACATCCCTCCCCGAGCCCACCACGCCGCGGGAGCCTCTGCCCCGCGGTCCTTCTGTGCTATTCCTGGCGAGTTTGGGGCTGAAGGGGGGGATACAAGACACCCCGGCGATGCCAGCAGCCTGGAGACCTGGCACCCCGCCGGCTGCACCGGGGTCACCCCGGGTCCCCCAGCCGTGCCGGCGGCCAGGCAGTGTGGGGGGCCCAGGGGACCCCAGCCTGGCTGGTGGAGATAGGGGGGCTCCCCCCGTGCCCGGGCTCCATCCCAGCGGCCCCCACCCGGACTGGGAAGCCCCTGGACCCAGCCCCGCGACGGACTGGTTTGAACTGGTGTGGCGGGGGGGAAGCTGGGCTGGGGCTGGGCTGGCAGCGCCTGGCGCGGGCAGGAGAGGCCATGGGGGGAGAACAGGCAGGGGCAGGCAGGAGAGGGCAGGGGCCTCGCGCGGGGGCCGCAGGTGCTGGGGCGTCCGGCCAAGCCACCGCAGGGCTTGTCCCCGTCCCCATCCCGGCGGGGCCCCCGCGGCGCCCGGTTTCCCGAGGCCGCGTGGTTTGGCAGCCGCCTGCTCGCCCGCCCGCGGCCGCGCTGGGAGCCCTGGCGTCAGCGGCTGGAGGCCCCTTTCCCACCCATCCCGCCCGGGGATGGCTGCGCTCCCCACCCAGCACCGCCCGCACCGGGACCCCCGAACCTCCCAACCCTGAGGACGTGAGGACACGACCGTCGTGGTGGCACCAGCAGTGACCCTTTCCCTGGCCCCACTGCGGGACCACCATCTCTGGGGGGCTGCCAGCACCCTGTCCCACTCCCTGGGCCGGGGGGCCTGCTGTGACACCCCAGCTGTGGGGTCCTGCCTCGGTGTCTGTCTGTCCCCGAGCTGTACCCCCACACTGTGGGGCACATGGGGGTTGCTGGAGCCCGAGAACCATGGCGGGGCTCCAGAGTGGGGACACCCCATGGGCACATCCCGCACTGGGGCGCAGGGTGAGGAACCCCCCCCCAGAGGGGAAGGGCCCCACTGTGGGCAGGCCCCATGGCCGGGAAAGCTCAGCGAGTCCCAGGAGATGGGACGTGAGGTGGGGCAGCCTCCACAGCGACGGGAAGAGGTGGATGCTTAGGCGGGGACCCCCCCCACTGGAGAGGAGGGACCCGACTCCGGGGCTGACCCCACGGCCAGGGGAGGCTCAGGGTGATGAGATGCTGTGGGGCAGCTCCTCCCACCCTGGGAGCCCGGGACAGGAACCCCCCCCTGGGGCCGGCCCCTCGGCCAGCACAGGGGTGCAGGCGGGGGGTCCCCCGCCCCGCCGCCCGGGCCCCATGCCCCCCGCGGCTCCTCCGCATTCCTCAGCGTCTGAGCCGGGCTGGACCCCCGCCAGCGCGGGGGGCCCCTCCGGCGGGGCAGGGCGGGGGACGGGCCCCCCGGGGCGGGGTGGGGATGGAGGGGCCCCCCCGCTGCCACGTGTGCTGGGTGCGCCGTGCCCCCCGACACGGCCCCTCGGCCGCCCCCACCCTGCCCTGGGCGATGCGGGTGGCCGCGGGGGCACAGCCGGGGGACGGCATCGGCTCTGGCTCGGGCGCTCACCGCTGCACCGAGCTGCCCGTTCTCAGCTGCCCGCCAGATGTGCGGCCGAGCCACGAGGGTGGCATTGTGTTGTGCCATTCCATGCCATTCCGTGCCACGCCGTGCGGCCGGCAGCCCCTGCTCGGCCCCGGCAGCCGCGGCGTTGGCCGGCGGGGAAGGGGCCCCGGCGGGGGAGGAAGCTCTGCCGCCTCCGGGGCTGGGGCCAGCGGGCTCGGCCGCCCGGGTCACCGCCGGGCTGGTGGCCGCCACCGCCCTCCTCTGCCGCTGGGAAAGGCCTCGCTGGGGCAGGCCCGCGGGGACTGACAGACGGACGGATGGATGGATGAACAGATGGGGGGGCGGAATGGGGACACCACAGCTCCAGCGCCGCGGGTGCCCAGAGGATTTGGCAATCCCCGGCAAGGTTTGGTCACGGGCCAAGGGGCTGTGCTGGCGACACGGACAGGACACACTGGGGACACCGAAGGGCCGGGGTGGGGGTTGGGGGGGGCCGGTGCCATGCCCTGCCCTTTGCCCGCTGCGGGAGGGGGCCGCGGCAGGGTGGCCGGAAGGGACGGCACGGTCTCCGTGCCAAGCACCGTGTCCTCCAGCCCGGAGCAGAGCGGGCATTGCCATGGGGCCGGGCTGGGACGATGCTCTGGCTGACCCTGGTGCTCCCCAGCCCTGCAGTGACCCCTGGGTATCCCCCGCAGAGCCCACCCCGGCACCATGCATTCCCTGGAGGAGCCCCTGGACCTCAAGCTGAGCATCTCCAAGCTGCGAGCTGCCCGTGAGAAGCGGGGCCCCTCCGGCCCCCGGCCCCGCGCTCCCCAGCGCCCGGACACCCCGCCGGCCGGGGATGGCCGAGGGGGCAGCCGGGGGAGTCGCCGGGCCGTGCCAGCCCCGCCGTCCCCCGGGCTCCTGGGACACTCCAGGCTGGTGGAGCCGCGGGATGGACGCTTCCCGGCCGCCGTGCCAGTGGTGGACCTCAGCCTCTCGCCCCGCTCCGGGGGGGAGTCTCCGGCTGGCAGTGCCTCGCTGTCCCCTGAGCGCCAGGGCAGCGGGGACCTGCCCGGCCCCCTCACCCCACACGTAAGTACGGCCGTGGGCCCCCTGAGGTGTCCCCAGCGGTGGGGACTGTGCCCGGACGGCACTCCCGACCTCGGCAGCGTGCCCGGTGCTGCCGCTGTACACACAGCCCGGGGTCAATGTCCTGCCTGGCCCCCCTGGTCCCCGACCCCAGAGGTATCCCCGGAGTGGCTCCCGGGAAGTCTGTTTGGGGTGTCTCTGGGGGGTCTCTGTGGGGATTTTGGGGTCCCTGGGGGGGCTGGCAGATCTAGGGCATTTCTGGGGAGTATCTCGGGGGGGGGTCTCTGGGAGGTTCTGGGATTCCTGAGGGGCTGGGAGGCATCTCTGGAAGGGCTCGGGGAGGGTCTCTGAGGGTCTCCATCCAGCTTGGTCCCGTCCCCCACCGCTCCTCCTTCTGGATTCTGCTCCAGGATTTCCAGTCCCTGCGCTACATCGATGGCCTCCCCAGCTCCTTCCAGTTCTTCCTGCCGCTGGGGGCTGGGGGCGCCCTGCACCTGCCCCCCGCCGCCTTCCTGCCCCCCAGCAAGGAGAAACGGCTCCCCCCCGAGCTGCCTCTGCCCAAGCAGCTCGTCTGCCGCTGGTCCAAGGTCAGCAGCGGGGGGCTGGGGCCGTGGGGGGTTGTGGTGGGGATGTGTGGGAGCTTTGAGGGGATGGAGGTAGTGATGAGGGGCTGGGAGACCACATGGGCATTGCAAGGATGGGGGGCACGCAGGGGAATTTTGTGCTGGGGAGAGGACACGGGGCTGGAAGGCCATGGCAGAGCTCTTTGGGACTGTGGGTAAGTTTGGGGAGGCCAAGCAGGGACAGTAGGTCAGGAAAGGTGGTGATGGGGAAGTGGGTGCTGTGCAGAGATGCTGGGGGATGATATGGGGCTGGGGGTCATGCAAGGGGCCATTTCCATTTCCCCAAATGCTGGTGCTGCTACACAAGGGGTGCGGGTGGGAGCTGGGATGGGATGGGATGGGATGGGATGGAGGGCAGGTGCTGGCCATGATGGAGGGACTGGCCCCCCTGGTGCCCACCCTGCTGGGCTCCCTCATCCCCAGCCTTCTGCCCACAGTGTAACCAGTTCTTCGACCTCCTGCAAGACCTGGTGGACCACGTCAATGACTTCCATGTCAAACCCGAGAAGGACGCGGGGTACTGCTGCCACTGGGAGGGCTGTGCCCGCCATGGCAGGGGCTTCAATGCCAGGTGGGCATGGGGGGCTCCAGGGATATCTGGGGGGCTGCTGTGGGCAGGCAGGAGCCCAGCACTGGGGATGTGCAGGGGAAGCCTCTGTCTGTCTCTCCTTCCCTCCTTTCCTCTCATGCAGGGTGCAAGATCCTGGGGGGGCTGGATGACTGTGCTGGCCTGGATGTCCCTGTTGTCCCATCCCATAGTGAAGGCACAGGGACAAGGACTTGCCCTGGAAGTCAGGGCTGATCCGCTCCCTAATATTCCATCCCCGATGCTTCCAAGAGTAGGTGATAGGACAAGGGTGAACAGTTTTCAACTAGAAGAGAAGGGATTTAAATGGGATATTGGGAGGAAATTGTTCCCTGTAAGGATGGGGAGGCCCTGGCACAGGGTGCCCAGAGAAGCTGTGGCTGCCCCTGGATGCCTGGAAGTGTCCAAGGCCAGGTTGGACAGGGCTTGGAGCAGCCTGGGATAGTGGAAGGTGTCCCTGCCCATGGCAGGGGGGTTTGAAGGATACGAGCCTTAAGGTCTTCCCAACCCATTCCACGATTCTGTGATTGCCCCAATCCCGGCAGGTACAAGATGCTGATCCACATCCGGACGCACACCAACGAGAAGCCGCATCGCTGCCCCACCTGCAACAAGAGCTTCTCCCGCCTGGAGAACCTGAAAATCCACAACCGCTCGCACACAGGTCAGCACAGCCCCCGCACTGCCCTCACTGGGGGGGCGGGTGGCTCGGGGGGACACGGGGGACACGGCAGGGCTGGTGCTCCCTGGCAGACCCGGTGCTGTCCCACAGGTGAGAAGCCCTACATCTGCCCCTACGAAGGCTGCAACAAGCGTTACTCCAACTCCAGCGACCGCTTCAAGCACACCCGCACCCACTACGTGGAGAAGCCCTACTCCTGCAAGATGCCGGGCTGCCACAAGCGCTACACCGACCCCAGCTCCCTCCGCAAGCACATCAAAGCCCACGGCCATTTTGTGTCCCCCGAGCACCCGGAGATGCTCAAGGTCCACCCGCCTCCCAAAACGCCCCTGGGCTCGGCGGAGGTGCCCTACGTTAACGGGGCGCAGCTTGTCATCCCCAACCCCGCCGCCCTCTTCGCTCCGCCGGGGCTGCCGGCGCTGCCCATCCCTTTGGCACCGGCACCGCTCGACCTCAGCGCCCTGGGCTGCGGGGCTGCGGGCGCCCTGCCCGCTCTGCCCGGCCCCGTCCTGCCCCTCAACGGCGGCCCCTTGAACTTGGCCAAGAGCCCGCTGCTGCCCTCGCCCTTCGCGGCGGGGCTGGGGCTGCCCGTCATGTCGCTGCTGGCCGGCGGGGCCAAGGCCGAGGGCGAGAAGGGCGGCGGGGTTGAGGGGCGGCCGCCCAAGGCGGGCAAGGGGCTGGAGAGCCGGAAGGAGAGGGGCGAAAGGACGGAGCCGGGGCGGCCGCGGGTGCCCCCGGAGAGCCTGGCACTGCTGCCGGGGGCCGTGCTCGACCTCTCGGCCGGCGTCAGCTCGGGGGGCAGCCCCGAGGCTCTGCCCCCCGGCTGGGTGCTCATCCCCCCCGGCTCCCTGCTGCTCAAACCCGCCGCTGTCAACTGAGGGGCCCGACGATGCCCGGGGTCAGCCGCCGGCCCCGTGGGCAGATCCCGCTCCCTGGGGACGGGGGGCACGGCCCCCTCCTCCCCCTGCAGCCCTGGCGGGGCCTCGCTCGTGCTTTTACCCGTCACGAAAGAAGAACGGACTCTTCTGAGAAAAGCAATAATCCCTCAGCGGCCGGAGCCGGCTGCGACCCCGTGCTGGGGGCAGGTGGGGCACAGGGGGGTCCCCCCGCCCCCTTCCCTCCCTCTCCCCGGCCCTGGGCAGCCGGATACGCCGCTATTTATTTCTCGACCAGCCCCCTGCTCCGACAGGGTCCCGCTTGGGCTCTCCTGCTTCTGCTGACTCGGCGTCTCCCTGCCCGAGGCCTCGGTGCTGCTGTGGGGGGCTGCGGCCCCCAGGTTCCTGCCGCCCGGACAGCGGGGTGACAGCCGGGGGACCACCCGCTCCCGCAGCCCCGAGCTGTGCCCGGCCGTGCCATCCCAACCCCGCACGGCCGGCACCGCCGCGGGCCGTGCCGCAGCCACGGCACCCGGTGCCGGGCCCAGCTGGCTGGGCACTCGCCGGCCTGGCGCCCGCCAGCTTCCTCCTCCCCGTCTCCCTCCCCACGGCCACCCCCCGTCCCGCCGCCTCCCCGGCCCTCCCGTGACAAGGCACACGGCCGCGTGTGCTGCTCGCCGGGGCACAGCCCCCCTCTAGCTACGTTCATACCTAACCACGCACCGCGAGCGCATGCGGGCAGCGCGGGCACGGCCGGCACCGGCTGCCGGGCACCCGCTCCTCGGGGTGCCGCGGTGGGACGCTCCCGGGTGAGCCCCCGGCCGTGGGGCAGCGTGCCCAGCCTCATCGCGGGCGCAGCTCGGAGCCTCCCCCGGGGATTACACACATCCCGCTGGCTCCGAGCCCTGGGGGTCTCCCCAGTGCCGCCCTTCCGCGCTGGAGGAGCCCTGCGTGCCCCGCAGGGAGCCGGTCTCCCTGCCCTCACCGGCGGCCACCCGGCGCTGCCCTAGCCCAGCATGGCTGCGGGCCCTCGACCAGGCCACCCCGGCCGGTGAAACGTCTCCTCGCTCCTCGTCGGTTTGTTGTTGCACATTCCAGGACATCAGTATTTTAACGGTCTCGAAGTGCCTTTCTATCGTAGTTTCTGGGTTGTTTTTATTTTCCTCCTGTTGGGCTCCATCGCTGTTAGCGTAGCGTGTAAGGACTGCACAAGTACGAGATAAGCTAACGACTGTAACACTATATTCGTCCAGGGGAGAGGAAGTTTATTAAGAAAACAATAAAGTGAAGTTGAAGTAAGTTCCTGTTTCAGTCTGTGGTCATGGTGGCAACGGCAAGGAGTCCGTGCTGGGGACAGAGGGGTGCAGGGGGGGACGAGTGTGACCTCGGGGTAATGGCTGGCCCTTGCCTGGCCCCCAGCCGTGTCCCCATGCTCCTGCTCAGGTGGCTTCAGCACCAGTGAAACTCTGCCAGCATCTGCGGAGTGAGGTGCAGGTGGGGACAGCCACAGGGTGTCCCCTCACAGCCCCTCAGCCCAACCCAGCAGTCATCCACACTGGGAGAAGGTAATGGCACAGCACTCCCAGGGTATGGAGCCAGAGGGAGCCGTGCACTCAATCCAAGAGTATCCAACCTCCCCACCAAAAATAGCTCCTGCAGCCTCCCCCAGTGCCCTTTGAGCCCTGGCAGCCTCAATGCTCTGGGGACAATCTTCTTCCCCAACTGCCTCCTCCTCCTCCCCTGGGCAAACGCAGCCCCTGGCAGGGTCCAATCCCTCCACAGGGCAGCGCTGGGCAGGCAGGTCCCCGCTCCCTCCCCGGGTGTGGAGCAGCCAGGCCAGGTGCTGGAGGACACGGTGTTTATTGGATACCTATAAGTTAAGGGTGAGGGGCACAGGGGGCAGGGGTGGCAGGAGTCACGTCTCGGCTTTCCGCCCCTTCTCCTTGTCGCCCTTGGCCTGGATGCGCAGCTCCTCGTCCAGCCGCTCCTTGGCTCTCACCACCTGTGGGACACAGGGTGACACGGAGGGATGGGGTGACACACAGGGATGGGGTGCCCCCTCCCCTCCCTGCCTCATCCATGGGTAAATCCAGGCTCTGCCTGTCCCAAGACCCAGGCAGGGGAAGGTGCAGCCCCTGCTCTGCCCCTCCCCGTGCTCACCTTGGACTGCAGGTAGAAGGAGCCTCCCACTGATTTGTCGTTCACCTTGAATAAGTGGTCGTAGTTCTGTCGAGAGAAGCTCGGGGTCAGAGTCACCTCCACCCTTGCTATTCCCACTCCCAAACCCTGGCAGCCTCCCACTTCCCAGAGCATTGCTGAAAAGTGATTCTGGGCACACGGCTGGCTCTGCCTGACACCCCTTGGGAGTCTCCATGTTTCCAGACGGGCACTTCCAGGGATCCCACATCCCTTCCCTGAGCAGCCTTGCTGGGCGCATGCAGAGGCCAAGCCTGGAGGGCTGCTCCAGCTGGGGCAGAGAATTCTCAAACTGGGATTAACTGGGCCCAAGACAGTATGGGGGACCAGCTGCCACCCCCATGCAGAGCAGCACCCTTGGAGAGGCCAGGCCCTGCCAGCACCATCCCTCCCTGGCTCCAAGGAAGCCTCTACCTTCTGGATCTCCTCAGGGTTGAGGCTGGAGACGTTGAGGATCTGTTGAGCTTCCTGGAGGCTGATGCCAATGATCCTGGAGGCGGCGGCGGACTGGGGTCTCTCGGTGCGTCCTCGTGCATTGGCTGCAGCCTGGCTCGCTGGGGACACCGGGGCCTGAGTCCCTCACACTGCCCCCATCACCCCAGCCCTCAGGCAGCAAAGCTTGTGCACTTTGAAGTGCTCAGACCCCGGTGTCCTCCCTCTGTCCCCATCCAGCCACCCCTGGGGCCATCTGGACGCCATCCCAGTGCCAGGGAAGTGGCAGGGACCAGGCAAGCAGCGTTTGCTACAGGAAAGGCAGGGCTGGGGCTGCCACATCCCAGGGATTATCCCACTCTGCCCTCTGGGGTGCCAGGATTTCTGGGAGCCTGGCAGCAGTGTCACAGGAGCCCTGTGACAACCTGGCAGTGTACCCTGCAGGCACGGCCCGGGGATGGGGAGCATCGGGGTGCCCAGGGAAAGGTGGGGATATGGAGCAGTGCCCAGCAGGGAGGGCAGCGTGGGCACACGGAGCTCTTGGAAAAGCATCTCAGCTCCTACCTGCAAACTCCTGGCGCAGCGCCCGCATGAAGGCCCGTCCCACCACCTGGGCCCCCACCAAAATGATCTGTGCCAGGTACTTGGCCTGCGGGGACACCCTGCTGTCACAGCCACCACGGCTCCTTTGCCCTGTCACCTCTCCATGGGCCCTGCACAACCCTGGCTCTGTCACCTCTCCCCATCCCCGGGGGTCTGCTCTGACCCCATCTAACTTCTGCCATGACGGTACGTGGCTCTGTCCCCCCTTCTCTATCCCTGTCCCCCCACCCAGGCCCTGTGATATCTTTCCCAGACCCCGTCCCCTCCCCAGGCCCTCTCCCTCCTCCCTTGTCTCTGTCTCCCGTCCCCATGCCTTGTCCCCTCTCCGCTGGTCCTAAGACCCCCTCCCCTGTCCCTGCTCCCCTTACACTGGCCCTGTCCTCCCTCTTCTGTCCCTGTCACCCCTCCCCACGACTTCTTCCCCCTTCCCTGATCCTGTGACCTCTTCCTCCGCCCCTGTCCCCTCTCTAGTGGCCCTGGCCCTCCCGTAACCAGCTGCTTCGCACATTCCCGAGCCCGCTGCCCCTCCCCGAGCCCTGTCCGGCCCCAGCTCTGCTCCCCAGCACCGACGTCCCCCCACCCCGTCCCCCCGTCCCCTCTCACCATGTCCCCGCCGCCGCTTCCGCCCCGGCGGTCACGTGGCCGGGGATGAGGGTCAGGGCGGACACCGAGACGGCGGCGGCGCGGGCGGAGCGTCCCCTCGGTGGGCATAGCGCCCTCTGGCGGTCTCCCCGAACGGGAGGACCGTCGGCGGGTGGGGCGCCACTTCCCCGGTGCCGGTCCCCGTGTCCCCCCTGTTCCTGTGCCCTCCCATCTCACGTCCCTATGTTATCCCCGTGTCCCCTCGGTCCCCGTGTCCCTCCATCCTCGGTCTCTGTGTTATCCTGGTTCTGGTCCCCGTTTCCCCCCGTCCCTGTGCCCCCCCCGCTCCTGGTGTCCCCCCGGTCCCTGCGTTATCCTGGTGCTGGTCCCCGTGTCCCCCTGGTCCCCGTGTCCCCCCTGCCGCGATCCCTGGGTCCCCCTCGGTCTCTGTGTTCTCCCCGATTTCTGTGTCCCCCGGTGTCGGTCCCTGTGTCCACCCGGGGCCGGTCCTTGTATACCCACCACGCCGTTCCTCACGACCCCCTCGGTTACCGTGTCCCCCCGCTGTCGGTCTCTGTGGCACCCCGACCCCCGTATACCCCTGGAGCCGGTCCCTGTGTCCCCTGGTCCACATGCCCCCTTGTTCCCCTTGTTCCCCTTGTCCCCCCCGGCGTCCCAGGATCACGGCAGGACACGATGCTGGTGCAGCGGCTTTAATAGCGGGTCCTGCCCGCGGCGGGCCCTGCGCCTCCTCCTCCTCTTCCTCCTCCTCCTCTTCCTCCTCCTGGTCGCCCAGCCGAGCTCGGCGGGTGCGGGGTCCCGGCTGCTCCTGGGGGTGCCGGGTCCAGCCTAGTCCTGCGGGAGGCCGGGGGTGAGGGGCACGGCGGGGCCGGGTGTGACCCACGCGGGGGTTGTGTGTTCCCCCTCCCGCACTCACCCACTCGTCCTCGTCCACGCCCTCGAAGGAGTCCTGAGGCAGCGGGTCGTCCCTGTTGCCCAGCCGGGCCACCATGGCACTGAGGAGCTGTGGGGAGAGGCCGGGTAGAGCGGTGGGGCGCGGGGCATCACCCCGGCCCTGTCCTGCCGCAGGGGGCCCATCCCAGAACCCACCTCCTCCTTCTTCTGTTCATCAGTCTTCTCCTCCAAGTACACGGACGCAGGGACGAACTTCCGAGCCGGAGCCTCTTTCG